GATTCCTTTGTGCGCTCCGATGTTCGACCAATTCTGTATGACCGCGCCCTATCCGGCCATCCTCCCTCGACCAACTCCTCGAGTAACTCATATTTGTCGACCACTTCTGATCTCGTTAGTCTCTGTTGTCTGCTCTCTGTCCTCCATTGCAGGTGTCTGGTCCTGCTCGATCATATCATTCGACCCGTTCTTATTTAGGTAATCCGACGAACCGGCCTATTTTCTTCGGTTAGCCCATCGAACCGGTTTAGTATATAATATCTCATATCAAATTGTTTCATTGGAATTTCACGGTTCCATGCAATTTTTCTAACTATAACTAAAGGTGGAAAAAGAATACAACAAAAATTTATGCATGTCACCAACCAGTGGTATATATAAAATGATTGTCACCTAATTTTAGGCAAAATTTTATTTTTAATTAAAAATAAAATCTAAAAATAAAATCCTAAATTTTATTTTTAGGATTTTTTTCGAAAGAGGGAGGATAACATAGACAAAAAACCTAAAGAGTCAACTGTTGGCTCCGTTACGGAGCCAACAACCAATGGAACAACTCCATGAGAGATTGTCCCACGTTGGAGCCATGTGGGACAGTATTACAAGGAGCTGTCCCATTGGTTGTTGGTTTCGTAACGGAGCCAACAGTTGGCTCCTTAGCATTATTGATGACATAAATCATGAGGACAAGCATAGTCTCTGGGATCTTTAACTTAATTATTTATTTCTCTTATTTAATGTTATTATTTTAGTCCTAGACTTGTCGGTATATTTATCTCTTAGTCGAAATATGTATTGAGACGTTGATTCGATACATAAAGCAATAATTAGAAGAGGAAGTGGTGTGGGCAATGGGGAAGTGCGAGTGAACATTGTTGTTGACAAGAAGTGGGGCCTCCAAGGAAAGTCCACACCCTTTGCCTAGTGAAATTTGTGTATAAATATGAACGCCCCCCTTCACTCACTTTCAATTCAACCTATAACACACACACACACACACACACACACACACGCTATAACATATATTGAGTGTGAAAATTACATATCACACTACCTTTTTGCAGTTTTCTTTCACTTGTATTTGTGTGTGTGTGTGAAGAGAAGTGATGGAGGTCAAGGAAGAAAAGACGGGTACTTGTGAAGAGATTAATGGCACCGTTGATTGGAGGGGACGGCCTTCCAATCCCCTTAAGCACGGTGGGATGAGAGCTGCTACCTTTGTTCTAGGTCCTCTCTCTCTCTCTC